AAAGAGCTGGAGAAAAATGTAGAACAAAATTCTAACTCACAAAAAAAGACCAGACTTACTGGCCTGACAGAGACTGGAGAAACCCCAAGAGTATGGTCCCCAGACACCCTCTTAGCTCAGTAATGAAGTCACTCCTGAGGTTCACCCTTCATCCAAAGATTAGACAGGCCCATAAAACAAAACAAGACCAAAGGGGCACGACAGCCCACGGATAAGAACTAGAAGGCAGAAGAGGACGGGAAAGCTGGTAATAGGAAACCCAAGTCAACAAGGGAGACTGCTGACATGTTGTGGGGTTGTTAACCGATGTCATAAAACAATATGTGTACTGTTTAATGAGAAACTAGTTTGTTCTGTAAAACTTCATCTAAAGTACAATAAAAAAAAAATCGTCACCACAACCCTCTGAGGTGGTACTATATTATCCTCCTTCCACAAAAGCAAAACTGAAGCCCAGAGATGTTAAATAATTTGCTCAAGTTTACTCAGTTGTGATTTAAACTCAAAATCTGCATTTTTTAGCCCCTGTGGTATGCTACCTTGTACTACCTTTCTTAAAATTTTTGTTTCAAATAAAATAATGTATGTAGACACCTAGTATATGCAAGTTCAATAAATGTTAGTTTATTACTGTTATTTTTAGGATTCTAATTTCTGCATCTGTGTTTTTTATTTTGCTCTTTGTAACCTAAAATACTATGCATGCCCTATCATTCAAAAAACAGTTCAAGTCCCACCTCCTACACGAATCCTTTTCTAACTGGGTTGATCTCTCCTATCTAAAGATTCCTTTTGGTAGCTGAAGGAGTATAGGATTTGGCCTATGATTCTCTGCCTTACCAATGATTGTGCCTTACTGCTTTATCTACTCTAGTGATCAAGGAGGAAGAAATCTCTCACATTCCACCTCCACTCACAGGAAATCATTCATCATTCATTTATTCAGTAAGGACCTATTCTCTGTAGGCTCTGTGCAAAGTGCTAGACATATAGTGATGAACAAAATGCACAGTTCTTGTTCTCATGGAACATTTGACCATAGGATATGGCATTAAACAAACAATGTATAAATACAAATTGTGTAAGTGTTATGAAGAAAAAGAACAAAGGGGCCATTAGAAAGATTCTTACGGGAATATAATCTAGATGGAGAAGTCAGAGAAAGTCTCTGTTAGGAAGTAACATCTAGGCTGAGACCTAAAGAGTGAGTAAGAATTTGCCAAGGAATGAGGAATGAAGGAACATTCCACTCAAAGACCTTGAAGCAAAAAAAGAGCTTGGCACATTTAGAAAGTGAAGAAAGCCAAGGTAGCTGGAATACAGTGAAAATTCGGGAGAGTGGTAGAAAAGAGGTAAAAAAAAGGTAGGCAAGGGCCAAACTATGCAAGGCCATGTCAGAACCTGGTGAGGAGCAGGTATACTATATTGTGTAATTGCGGGAGGTGTGTGTTGGGGGGGGACTATTATTTGCACAGTACAAACTCTAGAAATTAGGCCTTGTCTAAATCTTGATTAGAGGGGTGAGGATGGGCATAGTTTTAAAAAGGCTGAAGAATACTGACCCACCGATCCCCTTTGCTTCAAGGGTATTGGTGGTGTTGCTTCTAAAACAGGGAACCAGTTAAAAATCACATGATAGTTTTGCTTCGAATTTACTTAGTAAACATCCACACTGTCAACTATGAGCCAGACACCAAAAGCAGGTGAAGATGGTTGAAGGTCATTGCTTCTCACCACAAAGAAACTTTAATGGTTAATAGGAAGTGTCACAGTATCAAGTAACGTAAGGAAGTGAATAAAAGGGTAGATGGAAGCTATAATGAACACGGCTTAAGTATGAAATAAGCACCTGCAAAGTTCTGAACTATAACACTGCTGTTATATATTGTATGTTGAGGTTTAAATCATGTACCCAATTCTGGGGCCTGAAGAGCAGGTTGGATGGGGGGAGAGGGACACTCAAACGAGTTATTACATGTCACACACCCAAAACGTTCCCTGACATAGTGTAGATCATCAGCAAATGCAGAGGAGGAAACGTTGCTGCACTGACAGTACAGAATAGATTTATTTACCAGAACAAACTGTTGGTCCCAAGGGCTGCTAACCAACGTTACTTTTTACATCACAGAATTAACACCAAAGTGGTGAGAATGTAACTAGGGGCTTCTCTCAATGGGCAGGGCTGCCACACGATTTCCTAAATGAATCAATGGGCAGATAAACAACCAAATGTATTGAGGGGATTATTTGATTTTGTCTCAGGCATTCCATCAAATCCTGTAGATAAAAGCCAGGTGTGGCTGACCCCTGTGCCCCCCAAGTATAAATGCAGAAGCATTTTATAGAAAAGGATCTAAACTGTAGTTTGATATTCAAGAGGTCTTAAGGAAGTATGGAAGGAGCCTGGGAGTGATTAAATTATCAGATACTATAGAAATAAAGATATTAAAAACAGCAATAATTTTTTTTTTACTTTATTAAATTGCTCCTCACAGAATTCTTTACAAAAAACAGCCTTAGTCATCATGTCCCTGAAAAGTTAATTCAACAAATATTGAGACCTATGTACAGGACAATGATTGAAAGACAGAGAATCTGTGTTCCTGGCTCTTAATACAACTCCAAAATGTTTACAATTCTGTAAGGTTAACTCAAAAATCTTGAATTTACTTCACTTACAATTTCAGTAATGCTGACATTCTGATTCAGTATTGTGTTTGTAGTGCTAGCTCTATTTTTTGTTCACAAGAACAAAAGCCTATTACTCTCTTGGTATCTAAAACATATCCATATGTTTTAGATACATATTTATATATTAATATTTATATAAATTTATTTATATAATATTTATACAAAATATATTTTTCTGAGTTGTAAATAAATATAAGTTTTAAAAGAAACCAAATCAGTATAAAAGTTAAAATTATAATCCATTTCAGTTCATTAATTCCAAAAGTTTAGACAAAGTTTTGGATCTTCTTCATGAAAGATATGTACGAACTGTACCCTTGATTGTACCTCTACAAATAGGACATTTTCTTAGAGACGGAGCACATTCTTTACATACTACTAGATGACCACAAGGAATAAACACTACGGACACTTCTCTGTCCATACACACTTTACATGTTCTTTCTTCTTGCAATCTCCTCAATTGTTCTTCCATTGGTAGATCTAAGAAGAGAAAAGAATTTTTATTGAAAGGCAATTTGCTTCTTCTCCAATGAAAAGCCAAGAAAATGAAAATAATGTTTTCTACTGGTTTAGAGCATTAATACTGTTTTACCTGAAACATCTTCTGTGGGAATATACTTTATGTCCTGATGCACTAAGGGAGAAAAAGAAGCATTACTATATCACATCAGGTTGATATTTAGCCACAGAATATATATTTTCAAGCAAACAGTTTAGACTAGCCAAATACTATAAATAATTCTCAGAACACAACAAAAGTCTTTAATCTTTCTGTGTAATTACGAGTTTTACAGTGTATAAGGCTATAAGATTAATAGTTTATATACTAGATTGAATTATTTTCAATCATTACAAGTTATTAATGAGAGCATATTTTCAATTCACCTAAAAATTTCCCCCAAATAATTTTCCAGCACTTACCAAATAAATTCTTGTATAACACAGGGTCATTTTCGTGTAGAAAGTGTCTGAATATGGTGGCTGCACTATTTCCTTTTACTAAAATGGTATCAATCAGTTCTCTTGCTTGTAAAGGTGTCTGTCTTTTCTGTTTAATAACATCATGTTCTTGTTCATTAATTACTCTGGCAGTCAGTAGACTATCCAGGATTGGAAGCACACAAGTCAAATGTTGAAAAAGTGCCATTCTATTCTTCCGAATTAATGATAGATCATCTTTATAAGGAAGAAAGAAAACAAACACAAACATGTTCAGACTCTGCTCACAAAATTCCTTCTACACCTGTACATACAACTGAATGAGAACCAACCATAATCCGACATCAGTCAGGCACTGAAGTTGATTGCTAGGTTTTAAGGGGTTCCTAATACCCCTGTGCCTAATAATAATACTACATATAATAAGGACTAACACTTAATGAGCACAGTGTTAAGCATTTTATTAGCTCATCTGGTTGTAATGGACTCAGTCTAGTGGAGGCCGTGGTAGTTGTGGTCCATTAGTCTTGTGGACTAATCTTTCCCTTGTATCTTTAGTTTTCTTCATTCTCCCTTGCTCCTGAAGGGGTGAGACCAGTGCAGTATCTTAGATGGCCACTCACAGGCTTTTAAGACCCCAGATGCTACTCACCAAAGTAGAGTGTAGAACATTTTCTTTATAAACTACATTATGGCAAACAAGTCTATGCTTTGAAAAGCTACAGTGTTATTAACTCTTTGAGATATGACTACGTGTTTATGAATCTAAGTTTATTAGTTAATTATGATATAGTTTTACCATGAAAGTACTGGGCTGTCTGAAGTAACAGGACATATAAGTAGAGCTATTCAATAAAGAATAAAAACTGGTGCTTAGTTGAAAAGTCAAGGCTGGAGATACACATTCTGAAGACAGTTGAAGCTCTGAAAATAAATGAGTAAAGGACTAGGACCTAGAATAGTGCCTGGAAGTAAATGCCCCATGAATATCTGTTGAACAAATGAACAACCAAGTCTCAGTTATTTAAAGGCTGGTAGGAATAAATAAGTAATCACCAGAGGGGTAAAAGAGTTAGTACTTAATATATGTTAAATTATCTGTTAGACAAGTAGTGATATACCAGGAAATAAAAATATAATTTACACTTGGTATTGAAATATAGTTCTTCAATCTAAAATTTACTTTTCTAGTTACATTTTACTAAAGCTAATGTAATAAGTCTTCCATTTGAAATTCTTAAAAATTCTAAAATTGGTTTGATAATAGCTGGAAAAAAAAATCTTATTTGAAGGTTATAGACTCTATTTTGACTCTAAGAAGTGAAGACTTGAATACACCTCTGAAGCAGATTATCCTCTTATTCTAGAAAAAAAATCTTCATTTGCCTCTTTACTTACACACTTGTCAAGAAATTACTCACCACTGTTCTAAGTGAAACTATAAACATTAACCTGAACGTAAGTCTTTTCATTCACTCATTCAAAAAATATTTCCTGGGCACAGACTATGTGTAGGTACTGTGCTAGGTAACAGGTAAATAGGTAAAACGGTGAGGCTAATAAGCTAAGCGATCTTTTTGACAAAGCAGATTCTTGCATATTGTTAACTTAGACTCATCTCTGGAGAGGTTTGTTGGTTTCTGTGAAAAATATAAATATTTTATAGTTGGGTGGCCTTAAATTTCATGAAGTCTGTAAACAATTGTAGAGATGGGTGTTGTTTTTTTTTGAATAATTGTTGACAGGTGACCAATGGCTAAGACTGAGAAGACTACCTTTTGGAAGGACACGTCGGTCCGATTTTCACTTTTACAGTGAAAAAGAGAACTTGACTAGGCTGGGGAAAGGTTAACTTGGACTGTGTTTCTGTTCTACGGATGGTATACAAAAACCAGTTGCCGTCAAGTCAACTCTGACTCATATCAACCCCAATATGTGTTAGAGTAGAACTGTGCTCCACAGGGTTTTCAATGGCTAATTTCTAAGAATAGATCACCAGGTCTTTCTTCTGAGGCAACTCTGGGTGGACTTGAACCTCCAAACTTTTGGTTAGCAGCCAAGTGCATTAACTGTTTGCACCACACAGGGACACTATCAGTGGTACACAGGACTAAGTAATCACACTTTGGTAAATATACTGATGCTGGATTACTATGGTGTGATATGTTTGTCTGGGTGGAGCCATAAAACAGATCCACCTTCATAGGCAGGTGTGTCCCTGAATGGAGTGGATAATCTCACTGTCAATCATCCTAGGAAGAAATAGATCCCAGATGGTCTTCAAGGAAGGTAAGGGGCAGACTTTTTTATCTTTCTGGGTTCTGCAGATATTTGGGGACCTGAACTTTGATAAGGGCAAACATATTTGGGGCCTTCTTAGTTGTTCATGTAAACTGGCCAGAGCTACAGAGATGAAGCAGAAGCTAGGCAGAGAGAATCATGAGGATGGGCTTAGGGGGACAAGAAGAAATCACATATAGTTGCAGTTGGAAATTGCCATCTATGATATAATTCCCTTCTGTTATTCCTAAATCTTCAGTACAAGCTTATTAAAAGTTACAGTCTGTTTTCAGCTGTGTTGAAGGGACTTAGGGGGTCTGATCCTTGCTTGGGAAAGAGAGTGGCAAAGAGAGATCAGCATTTCTCTTTGTCCTAGGCATGAGTGATGATCATAATGAGAGCCACCAGATGAAGAATGGACATGCCCAGGGGAAGCGGGTTTTTGAGAATGGCAATAGAGAAGCAGACAAGGTTAGTATGGGAGGGCGTGGGGTAACCTGTCCTGAAGGCATGTGAAACAGTATCCTAGGACTTTCCTAAATAACGGACACTCTGAAGGGGAGCTAAGTTCTTGTATGGGCAGGTAGAGGACTTAATCATAATTTGTGCATTAGTTTACAGTGACAGGCTGAGATCTACTGTTACACAAATGTTAACATTAGTAATCATCCCTGATCACACCCCAATTTTACAACAAAGAGGAGTGAGCAACTGGCCTGGGATCAAAAATGTGCCATGAATAACTACATACACAGTCAACTACCCTGAGTAAAAATATGAATTAGGGGAAAAGATATTTTCACTCAGCATACATACTTTCTATTTACTGAGCAATTCAATTATATTTCAAGGTGAAAAAATTTTTCAGAACTCAAACTCAACATATTAAGCATCAGAAAGATCTGACTGGCTTGACTTACGAGTATGTTTTCAGTAACTTACGCACAGTGATATCAAATCCTTGTGAAAACAGGGACTATATAAATAAATATACATACCTGATTCTTTTTCCTCGGTTGCTCTTTCTTTCTCCTCTTCTCTCATTTCATCTTCTGCATTAAGCAAATCTAATACAAGATCACTGACAGTCTTATAATTCTCTCCAGTCATTAGGATTTTACTCTGAACTGTCTGTTTTACCAGCCTTCTACTGAAGCCCATTTCCAGAGCAGCTTTAACCACACGTGTATTCATCATGACTGCATCTTCTGGATGGTTTTCTACAGGCCCAAAGCGAATAACTATATGGAACAAAGAACAGAACATACATTAGGGTAATCTTTATTTTTTTTAACTGAAAGTTATCACAATATAAAAAATAAAATCCAGAAAATGTAGAGGTACTATTTTGTAAAAATTGGTGCAATTTAAAATGGTGATAAATAGATTCAGTCACTAAACTAAGAATATGGAATATTGTGTTCAGATACAAAAGATGCATTATCTGGCATAACTGGATATATATATGTGAGTGGGGGAAGGAAACAATGTCGGAGATCACTTTCCCTTCCTTATCATAACGTTTATCCTATCTGTGTATTTGTCTATATCCCTTAGACTATTAGCTCATGAAAGCAGGAGTTGTGTATCTTCTGCTCTCCGTTACTTCCTCAGAACAGCAAATATACAATAAATACTTACTGAATTGAACTGAACACTAGATAATGGAGTGGAAGAGTTTGTTCAAATACTGGTTCTGTCTCCTTTTACAGATAATGGACAAGTCACTTAACCTTTCTGAACCTCGGGTTCCGTATGGAAGAGTGGGAGTAGTACTTCTACTGTCTTTATTTCATAGAAAGAATGTGTGAGTTAGCCATCTGTCATAGTGCATCTATTCTCAAATATCAGTCCAAGAAGAGGGGCTAGGCCGACCATAGTTTGCTAAAACTGTGGATTCCCATACATTACCCTTAGATACTGATTTAATTCAGTAGGTCTGAAGCAAGGACTAGAAATCTGTAATATTTTTTAAAAGTTCTCCAGGCAATTCGGATATGTACTGAAGTCTGAGAAATACCAACTTAATCTATTTCAAAATCTATTTGTCAATTATAGTGCAAATGTACATTACTATTATAAACTTTCAATTTTAACCATACCAAGTGGTTCTATTTAAATGCAGTAATTATTATATTATACATACTTGGTGACTCTGCATTTTCATCTTCTGGAGTGTCTGAAGTGGATAACAGCTACAGAAAAAATACACATATAAATTAAAATACAAATCTTATCCTACCCATTGCAATAAAAAATGGTCAAGAAACCTATTTTATTTAGTTTATTGCAAACTGACTTGCTTACCGGCAAAATAAATTTTTTAAAGTCAAAAGTAATATTTCATTTACATTCAACACTTATTTCCTAAGCCATAAACTAATGGGAGTTTCTTCATCTGTATGTATGTTTAGCAAGTGAAATCTATTTTCATCAAGGCAAGAAGAGCTATACCTTTTCAGTGATCTATGAAACAGTATTGTTTGACTTTCATCCCTGGGTCATCCTTTAGGATGCGGGACCCTATGTCAATTCTGTTGACAATGGCTAGGAAGTGTTTGACCATCAAACTATTACGTAAGTTCTTAGTTGCTTTTCCAGAAGGATTAGAAATGGCAATAAAATTCTCTTTCTCAAATGTGTTTAAGAAAATTTATATAATAAAACTATTAAATGCTACTATCCCAGCCATTTTTTCCCTCAGATAGTTTAATTTATTGCAACTTGACTGGAGAAACGCTTAGGGAAATAAGTACATCATTTTTTCAGGAGGTTACTGATTATGAATCTATTTTTCTCTAAAGAATAGCATTTTCTAAGATCATGCTAGATTTCATAAAGTATCTTTTTAATGCAACGCTTGTCTCTTTGCTAAATACCACTCTAATTATCAGAAAATAATTTATTTGTTACTAATCAATAATTTAAAAACATCAAATAATCCTTCCTACCTGTTCAAGTAGATGAGGGTAACTGGCTTGAACTTGACTTATGAACTCTTGTCCTTTAATTCGTATCAAGTACTCACACCTAAAATGCAAAAAGAAAATAAAGTTGAGGGGTTATTTTATAATGGAATGAAAATTTTAATAACCAAAGTTCCTCTTCTCTAGGTATTTATCCCATTTCAAATCTAGTTAGATATTTGCCCCAAATCATAGAATCTTTTAGGATCACTGATGCTAAACTTAGAAGAATAAATAAATCCTAGCTCAATGTGAGATAATGCTACTGTGTTTTTCTTTCAAATTTTTTTTCCCAAAATTATCTGGTAAGTATCCTATAATGGGATTCAGAGGCTTTTTCATGAGTTTTTTAAATTTGCTTTTCAAGATGCTGCTTACCACAGCTAATATAAATTTGATTTACTACTGTTCCTTTATTTTCATAAAGTTTAATGCTTTATGGAATTAATCTTACTACATCTACCAAGATGGATTATTCTTCACCTTATTTTGAAAACTCCTAAATGTTTGTCGTCATTCGTGAAGAGCTAACCCACCGTTTGAAGACTGCTAAATATTTCAAATGAGCGTAAGCATACGTGTAACTACTTGGCTGTTTGTTTGCCATATGGGAAGTTAACAAGTGGTACAAGATAACTGCAGTCAAAGGCAAGGTGATATAGACAAGGCGAAGGATATAAATAAGTGATCTAAAACTGATATTTCTCTTCCTTCTTTCCCAAATTTTCCTTCTTATACATCCCCTAGGGGAAACAACTTAGAAAGAAAATACACCAATCAATAGTTAACTTTTTATAAAGGCATTAACAAGATAAGTCTTTCATAATTTAATTCGAACCATTTGGTGTTTTAATTTTTTCTTTACTAAAATACATGAATATGTGTCCTACAGTTAGAAAATTCTTGGTACCATGTTGTTAGTAACTACTAAATTAGAAAATTATGTGTAGCTGAATTTTCCCTGTGTCTTATTTAAAGCAGAGACAAACCTCTTTCTCTGTTTTGCTTTTAAGTGAAAAGGTAATGACCCCAATCTGATAATGTTATAATGGCATTACTAGGAGATATGTGCTGAAGTATTTAGCGGTGAAATGCCCCGATGTCTCTAACTTACTTTCAGATGGTTTGGCAGGAAAATAGAGGAAAAAAAATAATGACAATTAAGTTAGAATACCAAGGTTAGAAACCAACATTCAATAATACAAAAAGTTTTGACCATGAAAAGTAGGCCACATACATTAGATGGAAGAAGGAGACTGCAAGTAAGTGTAAAATAATCAGAAGTGTAAGACATAACAATAAAATACCACATAGCCATTAGAACAGATGAGGTGATTCTGTATTTACCCTGACCACCCTATTTCACGGTGGAACTTGCTGGCACTCCCAATTCTTCTTACCCTGCTCTCCTTTTTCTCTTTTTCCATCATACTTACTATCTTCCAATTATGCTATATAACTTATTCATGAAATTTTTAGTAAATATCTGTCCTTCCCTGCTATAAAATAAGTAAGTGTATGAGATCAGGAATCTTGTTTTGTTCAACTGGTATCTTTGAAGCACCTAGAACAGTGCCTAGCAATAGGTGTTCTATTAATATTGTTGAATGTTGAGTGAATGGAAATATGTCCAAGACATAATGTTGACTGAAAGAAGTTTCAAAACAATATATGTATCTCATTTATGTAAAGCTGTATACATTTGTCTATATACGTACACACCACCTGGGAAACTCTATGGGGCAGTTCTACCCTGTTCTATAGGGTGGCTATAAGTCAAACTGACTCAACAGCACACAACAACGATAACACAGGGAGAGATCTAGAGCGAAGTTCACTAAAATGGTAACTGTGGTCATCTTTAGGCGGTGAGATTTCCGGACATTCTTATTTTTTCTCTCTGTACTTTCCTACAATGTGTGATTGTGTTTTTATAATGAGCATGTATTAGTTTTTTAAAGATATTTATTTAAAAAAATTTTTTTAATCCCAAACCTATTTCTTAAATTTTCATCGAAACCTTTTATATCATCATTTTTCTAAGTAACCCACATAAAACTTATCCACAAATGTATTTCTGTAGCAAAGACAGAATAAAGTAACAGCTGATTATAAGGTAAACACATACAGCCCACCCCCTATAATCACAAAAATTTCCAAAGAGAAGTTCCAAACAGTCACCTTGGAAACCACTTGGCATGTTCCACCCATGGATCATCTCCAGATTCCCAACATCTCAGTCCACCGTCACAGCAAAAGCATTTGACATCATCGCTATGACCTAAAATTAATTTTGGACCAAAACTGATGAATACATATAATTTTCCACTAAAATTTACAATGTAAAATATATTGAATATTTTTTGTTGTTATTAGATTAAGTTTCTTACCCAAATAATAAAAACCAGCACTTGCAAGCTGCTCAGGATGAACTGGCACACTAGATGGCCAGTTACAGAATGTTTTAAACCGAGCTGCCTGTGTCTGCATGCTCAGATTAGAAACAGTGTATCTCGAAGATTCTTGAAGCTGATTTTCTAAAAACGGACAGGTGGGAAAATGTCTCAGGTGTTCTGACATAGCGTCATCCTTCAGTTCCCAATTGCTCAATTTTCCACCACAGGCAAAGCAAGCCACTCTGTCTCCAGGTCCTATATAGTAAAAGCCTGCTTTTGCCAGATCTGTTGGTGACAGAAAAGTCAACGGCCACATCTGGAAAGTAAGTAGTCTGGCTTTTTCAGTATTCATTGCACAGCTGTAGGGGCTTGTCCTCAAGGCAGAAAAAGCTTGATTTGCACTGGAGTTTACAGGATTTGATGAAAAGCTTGAGTAAGAGCCACTGAAATATCCAGTGTTTTCCAAACTTGGTAGGAATGAATGTGTCGAGTTGATTACTGAAGAAGAAAAAGCAGGCTGAGAGGTAGCTCCCAGACCGTTCACTGAACTTAGACTCTGCATAAAGCTACAGCTAGGATACAGTTTTTTATGCTTTTCAATGGCATTGTCTCCTTGTTTCCAGTTATCCAGCATCAGACCACAACAGAAGCATTTGACCTTGTCGTTCACACCGGTGTAATAAAACCCAGCACGAGCAAGACTCCTTTCTGAGATGGGAACTCCAGTGGGGAAAGTTGAATACGTAGATATTCGGTACAGTTCACATGAAAAGTCATATTTCAATTCAGACATGTTGGTGCTTTTCATCAAATTTGATAAGAATATGCTATTTTCTATGTTCATAGTGAAATGGATGGGGAGGAAAAGGGACTAGCCTTTCTCTGGGGAGGTAGTTTTGTGCATGGCTTTTGATTTTGTTATTTCAGTACTAGGATGAACACCTAGAATAGGAAATCTTTCATTCTTTTCCTTTTATGAATTTAGGGTTTCAGCATGGTGAGATTCTACATCCTATACAGATAAACCTGTAAGGGACAGTTAAGGACAGTTATTTTTTTTCCAGTACAACTGCAACTTTGCATAATCTTTATGCATATGCAAATGTATGTAAACATGATGCCACATAGTAATTTAAGATGAAAATTAAAAGTTTTTGTAGAAATGTAGCGTGTTTTAGGTCATCAGAACATCATTTAGAGTCAGGCATCTCCACAGTGAGGTCATCTTCTCTAGGCCACTAGAATGCTTCAGTGGCATTCCACCAGCCTGAAGATAAAATGTTTGACTCACACAGCTAGCGTCTTTTCATGGTGGAAAGCTATGCTCCATCTAAGTGTTCTACAGCAAAATATCTAATTATGGTTATTTTGCTTTTTGTAAATTATCAAACTCAGTGGCCAGAAAAAAAGCATATCTACCTCAAAAGAGGAAAAGAGTATATTACCATATTTTACCGTTTCTAAGACACATGTTTGAATATCCCTGTTAGCGAGAGACATCTTACAATTACTGGCATATCATATTTTATTTAGCAGCATTTTTTACTTCTTAGAGATACATAAAATAATGAGGTGTCTTACAAATGATGACATCTTAGATTCAATGAAATATGGCATATCCCAAATCTTTCTCAAATTAAGTAATTTATATTCCCACAATCATTTTTATTAGGGAGAACAAAACAATCTAAGATTTCCCACAGATAAAAGGATTTAGTAAAAGTGTTGGCTGACACATCTGAAAACATGGTTTTAAGACTGATGACATAATAATTACTTCCTCACAGATAATTAAGAACATAGTTGCTTAGCCATTGTGATACCATTAGGTCTTGGCAAATTAAAAATTTTATTTTAAATAATATTGTATTCATCACTGGCTTTGTGTAAATTTTCTTTCTGAATAAGTTTGCTCATTTACTAAAATTGAACCACCCAGCCATCATTCTCATCATTCTCTGAGATAACAGACCATTTGAACAAGCTAAATTTTAGACTCTGAAAATATCATCAATAGACTTGGAAGTCACTGGATAGTTTCTTCACCAATCATCAAGTTTGTCTTTCCTACTTTCCCTAAATTTGTTGTACATGTCAAAAAGTTTTGTTCTTGACATTTCTTTGTCATTGTAGAAGTCTTTTAACATGTCAAAGTTCTCATTTGCATATTTGTCTAATTTAGCAGAAAGTAGAATATTAATTCTTTGCCCTAGATAACTGTCATTCATTTTTAAATTTTTACCAAAACAGGTGCTTCTTCCTATTCTACACAGCAGCCAATGGAAGGATGCCTAGCCAATTCTGAAGAGTGTTTCAACAATATGCTCCAGCTACAATCACTTCTCCTTTAATTCCCCAAATCAAATTCAAAATCAAACTCATTACTTTGTAGTTATATCTCATACAATTAAATCATATTTTAAAAATTAACATTGTTTGGATATCAAAAACTAAAGAAACTACTTAATTTTTTTATTCATGCACAAAACTACCTCCCAGAGAATAGGCTAAGTCCCTTTTAAGGGTTTTAGGCCTCCATTTTGAGATGTTTTGATTTATAGAACAAACAAACAAAAAATCTAGAAGTAGAACAGTTAGCTTCGTTTATAAAACCTGTCAAAAAAAAAAAAGACAGTTTAAAAAGTCAAATAATTCATAGATGTAACAAAATGATCTTTTTTTTTTTACATTTTCTCAAAAATATTTACTGATTATCTACAATGAATATAAGGTACTGTGTTCAGCACTGTCCAAAATCAAAAAACCAAACCCACTGCCGTCAAGTTGATTCTAACTCATAGTGACAATACAGGTCAGAGTAGAACTGCCCCATAGGGTGTCCAAGGAGTGGCTAGTGGATTCAAACAGCCGTCCTTTTGGTTAGCAGCCAAACGCTTAACCACGTACCACCAGGGCTCCAACCACTGTGCCACTGAGGAGAAATCCCAAATAAAGAGCAGAGGTCTCCAACTGGTGGCCAGTAGAGGAATTATGTTTGGCTTGCACAGAAATGGACCATAGTATTTAACTAATTTTTTTTAACTTAATATTTTGAAATTATTTTAGATTCAGAGAAAATGTATCAAAAATAATAGACTCCAAAAATAAATATATAAAATAACAATAATACAGAGTTCCATATATCCTGCACCCAGCTTTCCCAAAGTTAACATCTTACATAACCAAAGTACAATTCTAGGAACATGAGTTATTAGTTTACTTTGATACAATGCTGTTAATTAATCTATGCTCCTTATTTGAATTTCACCAATTTTCCAAACAATAAGTTTTTTCTTGGACCACAATAGTTTTGAATGTTTTCATTAATTGCCAGCAATTAAAAAATAACAAGAGATTTCCCATAAAATTCTAGATATCAGACTTCTCTGGAAAAAAACACTGGGCCTATATTCCTGCGTGGCAACAATCAGCTAGAGTCAATATTGGCTATACCCTCAGGACAGGGCATTTGCTCTCCATATTTTGACTCCCTGGTAACTGAGACTGTCAGTTGCCATTTCTCACTGAGCCGGCACTATTGTTTTTCTTAAAGTAGCATTAAGAGGGAAATGAAAAGTCTGTGCAAAGTAGCAAAAATGAACAGCAGACCAAGAGAAAGGTATTTTGGGAAAAAAATGAGAATCACATTTCTTTCTGGAAATGAAGAATATTCCTACATGTTAAATACATAAACAAAGTGTGCTTTTGTTTGCCTATTTATATATATACCACCTGCCTGGCGTCTGAATGCATTTGAGTTTGCAAACCCCCTACATAGATGTTACCCTAAAGAAGCTTTGGTGTGGAAACAAGACATGTATTTGTGGAAAGTTAGGCAACAAGTATATTAAAATATGCTAAATACCAATCCTGGATGAATTCAACCTTCTGTCTTAACCATTTCTAACATGTAGGCTCCTGAATGCTGCTGGAGAAGACCCTCAACCCTGCACACTGGGACCAGCGCCACTTCAGACTCCACCTTGGCTGGCCCTTCAGGACCCCTGAGCAATTCTGCTCAACCCTTGTCAGCTCCCTAGCCCACTGCTCTATGCAACGCTTCTAAACCCCCAACACCTTTCTCAAACTTCCCACTACTCCCCTTCTCACTTTCAGTCAATTGCTTTTGCCTCCTATTTCTCACAGAAAATAGATGTCATTGAAGAGAAATCCTCTCATGTTCTCATATCCATACCTTTCTTGCTCACCACCTACTTGCTGCCTCAGTTAGACACTTGCCCCTTCTGAGGAGCCCATCTTCTCCCCCTGCCTCAGAAATCTTGCTCCTAACCCTATCACCCCTCATTTTTTTAAACTCTCTACTGAATCTTTTCCCTCAGCATAACGATCATGCTTAAGTCTGTCTCAGCTTTAAAATGAAAACAAACAAAATCCTCTTTCAAGCCCACTTTACACTGTAGCCACTACCCTTTATCTTACCTTCGCTTCACAGCAGAGCAAACTTAAACTACGGTGAATGTCTCCACATTTTCCCTTCCATTTACTCCTTAAACCACTACAATTGGCTGTAGTCAGCACCACTTGAAACTGCTCTGTATAATAATGATTCCCATGGTTTCTCTGCCAAAACCAATGGAAATTTTTGTATATGACACTGGAGCCCACACCCTCTTTGAAATGCTCTCCTCCCTTGGCTTCTCTGAATTCTTCCACTCTCAGAATTCCTCTTTCCTTTCTAGTAGAGTCACTATGAGTCAAAACTGACTCCACTGCAACAGGTTTTTTTTTTGTTTTTTTTTTTAATGAGTTTCTTTTCAAACTGACTCAGATCCCCAGACTTTTCTTACTCTAACATTTGTGGTGGGCAATTTCCTGATACCTGGGCTGTTGGGTGTCCCATCCTCTTGGGCACTCAGCATATCCATTTCTCTGACAGAGTATCTGTATCTCTGACGCTGGAGGGTAAATGTGCCTTTTCTTTCTGCCTCCTCCTAGGCTGCAAGAGCTTTCAGAGCTCGAACTATGTTACATCTCTGTACTGTCCCCCAGCATCCACAGGGCCTGGTGTAGAATATACGTAGCTAGTGAAGACTTCTTGTTGAAGAAGTGAATGTTAGCAAACTTCACTGAGCCCTGTATGACAACAGTACCCTCATTTGCATGGCATTAGGGTCATGAATGTTACATTAATGACTACAAAAGTTTGTTCAGTCTGGTTTAATATCAGGCTTTGGAGTCAGACATCTTGGGTTTCCAATACCATTCAGTGCCCCATTACCAAAGGAATAACCTTAAACAAGTGAACCTATATGAGCCTTGTTTCCTTACTGTCAAATGGAGATAACTGTGGTACCTGCTACTAACATTGTGAAAACTAAACGCGAAAAATACCCGTAAAGTCTCCGGAACTAGTCCTAGCGTACAGTGCTACTAGCAACACTTAATGTTAGCAATAAACTATAGCAAATAAAGTTAATGTTATTGTTCGTTACTTAGCATCAGTTAAATAGCTCCAGCAATTTAACAGATTAAGAGTACTACTGGGTTTCCACGCAGATCACCAGGAAAACAGCCAAAAAACCGGTCTTTCTGCGACCACTTGGGGGACATTCCTCCATTTGCCCGTTAAATATTTTATTGAGTCTTTGCTGTGCCAAATTTCTGCTTTAGGCTCTGTCTTGAAGCTTATTTGTCACCTCAAAGACCCGGTGATACTTCTTGATAATCGAATTAAGCCAAATGCCAAAGCTTCACCATTCCACTGGCTCACCCCGAAACAGACACTGAGCTCCCGGAAGGAAAGTGGATTGAGGGTACGGTTCGGCGAGGCAGCGCGGGCACCTGCCTGCACCCGCCCGGCGACCCTGCAGCCCCGCGACCCTGCGGCTGGGCGCCTCCCCGCGGACGAAGCGGCGGAGTTGCAGCGGCTGCGGCGGAGACCGGCCGGAAAATAGCACAGGGCACACCCAGGAAGAGGCTTTCGGGCTCGCGGGGACCCGCTCTTTTGCCTGTAGCTGAAAGCCCTCCTGGGCTTAGGAGCCAGTCTAGAGCCGACCTCTGGGCCCTGGGGCGGTGTTCGATGAGCCTGTCACCCCGCTGACCCTGGGGGAGCGGCAGGCCTGGCCCGGCGCCGCGCACACCGCCCCTCCCCTGGCGCCGCAGCTACGGTCTCGGTGTCCCACCCGCGAGGTGGGGTGGGGGTGGGGGGCGTGCGCGTGCACTCGTGTGCACACACGCGCACACACTCACAGCAGCCCTTGGCCGTATCGCCACCAACCTGCTCTCCCGAGGCCGAAGCGCTCCAGCACCGACGTTGCTAGTCTGCTCCCGCGACACCTACCGCCGGGGCAGTTCCGGGCGGGTTGGAGCCTCGCGTTGTCTTTTAAATACCCGTACTTTGTCCTGCCTTCCTCCTCACTGGTTTGCATGTAAACTGGTGCTTTCCTCTTAGGACTTAGGGGAACTCCGGCGGTAATAACCACACATAGTTCCCCTTAATCAGTGGCCTGGCAAACCCGCGCGGGGATTTCCATGGCCCTAAAAGCGTCACTGTTTCTTAACTATGGCACGTCCGCGTGGCATTTACTGAAAAACCTTTGCTTCGTTGCTCTTGGGTCAGAGGAAAGCCTGATAAGCGGGGTAGAGATGATCACTGGCCAGCTTAACTGGAAAAGGTCAATCCTCACCGCTACCTTCCGAGCCTCAAACGCTTCACATGTAAAAAGTGTTAGGTTTTCCAGTCTTCTACTACAGCTACAAAAAAGAACAGTATTTAAAAGAAAAGTGAAACTTTGTGAAATCTTTCTGATGATTTTTACTTTTTGTTCTGTCCCAGAAAGTAAGGTATGAATGGAAACGTGGGGCTACGGGGAAGCATGTTAAGAATTACAGTACACAATTCTTTTTCTTCTTATTTGTATTGTTTTAAAGTTGCCTTATTTCCTTATTTGCTCTCCTCCCCTCCCCCACCAGCACCACCTTTGATTGGTTGTTTTTATAAGTAGGGCAGACTTGGCTATTTTTTTAAAAATCCTTCTTTTAGCCTTTTTGTTTCACAGAAGTCTCTAAATTTCAGTGACATTTTCATGTAAACCCAGAAGTCTGTGAGCCTAACTGCACTGCCATCTTTTCGTCAACTTTCCCTGTGTAAGGCAGTATATTTAGCTATGTCAAGGAGCAGATGGATTCCTCAGCTGGCTTCCCTGTCTTCTGGTAGAGCCTGCAGATCCAGTAGATCAAAGATAATCATGAACCAAAGGTACAACCCACATACATTATTCAGGACTTCATTGTCCTTGGAAATAATAAGGGCCTACAATCCGTTCAGTACAAAATCCAGCTGGACTGAGGCATCTTCTGGATTAGAAAGCTGCTCATAGCAGCTAGAGTTCAAGTTGGAATTATATCTGGAAGACTGTTTATCTATCGAGTGGAGATTTCAACCCACTTTTGAGCCTGCTTAGTTCAAGACTTTTTGAACCGTTTTCAACTTACCCTTAACATTATCTAAAACGTTTTGTGATCTTTGCACATTTTTAATCACGTATCCACCAAAAGGATTTCAAAAAACTCTATATTACCTCACACATTTTTAACTTAACACCAATTTTTTTTGCATATTGTTATAGTTGCAAAGGATCTGCAAAATGTAAACACAGATATTTTAGAATAAAATTGAAACAGCACCCTTTTAAATGTATTTAACCTCCAGATGCCATGGAGTAGATTCTGACTCATAGAGACCTCATGTGTGTCAGAGTAGAACTGTGTTCCACAGGGTTTTCTTTTCTTTCTTTCTTTTTTTTAAATAATATTTTATTGTGTTTTTGGTGAAAGCTTACACAGCAAATTAGGTTTCCATTTAACAATTTCTACACAAATTGTTCAGTGACATTAGTTACATTTTTCACAATGTGTCAACATCCTCTTTAGTTGCAGTTTGGTTGTACTGTTTCCAGTACTCTAGTTTCCCTGCCCCCTTATCATCTCATCTTTGCTTTAGACTAATTGTTGACCTTTTGGTCTTGTACAGATGGTTTTTTATTGGAGCACCATACTCACCATACTCACAGATAATATCCTTTATTTTGTGTGCCAATCTGTTATTTCACTAATCTATAGAGTTTTCAATGGCTTATTTTTAGGAAGTAGATTGCCAAGTGCTTCTGTGTGGACTCAAACTGCTGACCTTTCAGTTAGTTAGTGGCTGAACATGTTAACCATTTACACCACCCAGGAACTCCTCTAAATGTATTTAATGGACTCTAAATAGCACAACCATTTGGCACCTACTGTCATCCATTAAAAAGGTAATAAATCAGCTCTTCTTTAAAAATTAGAAATATTCTATCACTCTTTTTTGAATATTTCACTTTTCCCCCACACAATTTTAATATATATTTATGGTCGACATCTTTTAAGATCATTCTGTCACATATCTCTGAAAAAAATATCTGTATAAATTGAAATTTAATTCTTCCCTTTGATCAAAAGGCTCTAAGAGTTTAAAAAATTTCTTTTGCATTATCATTGATATTTTAGTGCTTTTAGTGTACAATTGTTTAAAGCAATATAAATAAAGTATAAATTTGGTAATGATTAAAAATAAGTAAAACTTTATATAAATTCAATTTTAATGTGTGGGTTGCAGCTTACATTTTAAACAATTTGTTCAAGTGTGTGTTGATGAATATTACCTATTGCTAGAATATGACAGAATCCAGCCTAGATTCTGTTCCTTTTTAAAATTTCTACAGTTATAAATGCTGAAAACCTTTTTCATGTAAATAAGTAGGTAGGCCTGGAAGAAATGTAGTTATAGCATTTTTTCACAATTCTTTGAACATCTGTTTTATCTTCCAAAAATCACTTAGTGATCTTTCATCAAAAATTGTGATTAGTGATCAATGGACAACTCAGTTTTGTTGAAATCGGTGACTTGGAAACCATTGAACTTTTGTTACCTAGGTAGTGTTGCCAGATTTAGCAAATTTAAATACAGAACGCTCAGTTAAATTTAAATTTGAGATAAACAACAATGTTTTAATATAAGTGTGTTTCATGCAATACTTGCAACATAGTTACACTAAAGATTTTTTCATTGATTATCTGAAATTAAAATTTAACTGGTATACTGTGTATCTGGCAACCTTATACTCAGATATTAGTCACTCATTTTCTCATTACCAACACCAGTATTTCCAACAGTCCAGGAGGTTTTTACACCCAGGGGTAAAACAGCATTTTAAGACTCGGGATGCGTGACAGGTGAACCTGTCTTTTGTAAAAAGAGAGAAGGGCCATTGTGAAAAGGGAGGTGAGAAGACAGAATAAGTTTGGCAACCTGGACAGCTCTTGTTTCCAGAAAAGTGGCTTTGAGTAAAAATTACATATGGAAATTGAAGATCAGGCTGTTAATTCCCTTAAAACTATCTGAGCTCCCACTTACACATTGGAAAATCTTTGTAAGTGCCCAAGGAAGCAGTTAACCCGATTTAAAGACCACAACCTAAGCAATCCCCAAACTAACTGTTGTTGTGTGCCATCGAGTTGATTCCGACACATAGTGACCAAGAGTAGAACAGCCCCATAAGGTTTCCTAGTCTGTAATCTTCACAGAAGCCGAATGCCAGGTCTTTTCTCCCACTGTTCGGTGAATTTGAACTGCCGACCTTTCATTTAGCAGCTAAGCTCTTAAACATCACACCACCAGGGCTCCCTGCTAAACTGACCAGGACTCCCAAATTCTTCAAACTGGTAATAACTGGGATCAGATCTGTTGGGGCTGGAGCAGATCAACATGTGTTCTTTGCAACATTTTGCACAACTATAATTACTGGTTATTTTTGAATAATTGTTTTCTTGGATAAATTCTAAGTTCTGTATGGACATGGACTATGTCTATTTTGTTCACCTCATTATTCTAGTGCTAGTAGGGTGCCTGACCATAGGGTACTCTGTGGAGCCAATCTATCCATCTTGGGCCTTCTCTATTCTAAACATGCATCCACATTTTTAATAGTGCAACATACTGTACATTTTCCCTCGATCCCTTTGTATATCCCAAATATTTCATATAAAACCCCCTTTTCCTTCTAGCATCTAACTTCCTAAATATATTGGCTCTCCAAATATCCTTTTAGAGGTAGGAATAAGCAAAGGAAAGTCTGAGGAAAGTGACAAGGTAGACACATACACCAAAAACCAAACCAAACTTACTGCAGTCGAGTCGATTCTGACTTATAGCGACCCTATAGGACAGAGTAGAACTGCCCCATACGGCTTCCAAGGAGTGGCTGGTGGATTCAAACTGCCAACCTTCTGGTTAGCAGCTGTAGCTCTTAACCACTACACCACCAGGGTATCCTCCTAAATACATTTTCTCTCCAAATACCCTTTTAGAGATAGAAATAAGCAAGGGAAAGTTTGAGGAAAGTGACAAGGTAGACACATATACCTGCTACTAACTCTAGGTTCCCAGTTTTCTTCCACTGTGGAACTGTGAGCAAGATATGAGATATGTGTGTGAGTTTTTCACCCTGTTTCTGGCTTGGAATTTTGATAACTCCTAACAATGGTGTGTTCTCAGTAATCTACTATTTAAATAATCAACTTAAAAGTATTTTTCCCTCGAGGGTAATTATGATTTTTAAAAAAAAATTTGTTCCGGAGGAAATTTCACATAATAATAATGCTGTAACAATTTTAGTTGCAGCTTAATGCTATTTCACTATAAATTTTTACATTTTTAATTAAAGAACTATGTACAAATTCTACCCAGGAATTTCAGGCTGAAAGTGAAAGTAAAATCTAACAGAAGGAACATGCTGTTCAAATTCCAAAGCAAAGTCAAAGTCGTTGGTAGTGCTGGGAATTTCCTAGTCTGTTGACAACTTCATGATACCTTGCAAATAAAATACAATTAGACTGAAGCTGCTTATGTACAACCAAACACCTCATGGGAGTTGCTTCCTTGGTTTGGAGGTTCAGGGTCATGGTTTCATGGGGCATCTCAGTTAATTGGCCTAATAATGTGTTTAGTGCTTCTGTTCAATGAACTAGGGTTCATTGTTGCATAGTGCCTGGGGCCTTAAAAGTTATGAGTCAGAATCAACTTGATGGCAATGGGTTTTTGGCCATCTGTAAAAATGGTGTGGTGGGGACATCTGACCTCCTCTAACTTAACAAAGGGGAAGGAGAATCAAGATCAACAGCCCAAGGCTGATTCCTATGAGGCGGAGGTCAGGCATACCTACTCTCTGCAACATTTTTTCCAATTCTGACACCAGCCACCCCTCTCACAGCACTCTCTACTTCTCTGCTGGGTTCAAGAATTTGTAGCAATGGCCACACAGAACTCACAGACCATACTCACAGTTATGGAGTTTATTAGGGAAGTAACAAGTCACAGTTCAGGATACAGTTCTTTCATCAGGAGAGCCTCTTCT